CCATTAGTGGTACTATTATTTAATACCAAGTTTTGGTAATTTAATATTTAAATTGCAGCTTATTGTTGCTGTGTCATTTTGATCTGTTCTAAATATTTGAATGGCACTGAGTGCACACTGTAGTCTAACTGCAGCTCAAATAAAGCAGCTACAGTTTCACTTTAGACATGCTTTTGGCTGTTTTTTCCCTTTCTTAGAAAAGCAAAGTCTATGCTTTAATAGTATGAGGCTTTTGATAAAGCCATCTTAAACAAATGTAGCCATGCAAATAAGGTATTTCCAAAGAAATTGAGGAGGAGAGATGGTATCGGTAATCAAAAAGAGGTATCAGTCCATCCCTAATATATATAGCAGGACTGCCGACCGCCACCCACTCCTGTGCCCTGTTTGCCACAAGATCCAAGACTGCCTCTCTGTGCATCTCCGGAGGACATGCATGAAAAATCAAGAAGAACTCCTCCGCCAAGAGGCCTTGGAGAAGTCAAAGGCAGACGCCGATGACCTTCTCAAGAATGGACGTGTCATCGAGTACAGGCTGATTCAGGAAATCTTGGCCTCTCCTGACCCCTCAAAGAGGTATGTGGCAAAAACTGTTTAATCCACCATTTCTTCTTTTAATGAATGCACAGCACTAACCGTTTCTTGTTTTTGTATTTTAAAGGTTGCTTGAGGAGCTGCAGAAACAAAGCATGGTCGTCGTCAATGTGCCACCAGAGCCAGCTGGTGCTGCAGCTTCATCCAGCACCCTGGACGCTCAGGCCGGACCTTCAACCAGCGCTGCAACTGACCAGCCTTCTGAGGAACAAATGGAGACAGGGAGTGACAGCAGTGGAGAGACTTTTCAGAGGTCAGCACTCATTCACTGCTTCAACAAACTTGTGCTGATTTCTTTGTGCATGTGTGTGAGAACTGGTGTGATCCTTATAACTGTACTGTGAATTTTTCAAACTGCAGGGATCAAACTGCAAACTGGAGTGGCAGCAACAGAGTCCTGATGTCTGACATGGGCCTGTACAAAAAGCACTCTTGACTGCGACCTGCTGATAAAGTTCAGGAGCTACCTGTTCACCGACATGGGTGTCGTAAATTGCAAGCAGGAGGTGAGCAATTCCATCAATATTAATGATATATTTGTTTCAATATAGCCATGACTGCAAAGGCTTTTGCTGCAAATGTGTAACATTTGTGTTTTGTTTCTCCTCAGGTGGAGAACGTGGCACGCATGCTCTACTTTCATCCAGCCAAGCCCTCCCTCCACTTTGTCACAGACAGGGAGAAGATCCGCATGTACCTGCGAGACCTGACCATGGCGAAGCTGACAAAGCAGATGCAAATAAACTACCTGAAGAATTTAAAGAGGTTGGTAGCATTCATTTTTCCTCCATGGGAAAAGTCTCCTCATGCACACGCTGTCATACATTCTCACAGAAACAGTTAAATGTATGTGACAACTGACATGTGTTTTCATTTGCTTACAACTGTCCAACCAAACTGTTTTCTACTTTGAACAGGTTTCTGAAGTTCAACACGACTTGCACCAACCTGTACAGGACCGACGCCGACCTGCAGAGGGAGGCTGAAATGTACTGTATGTACCTCAGTGAACTTCACAAGCAGCTCAGCAAAGAGATCATTGCCAAGCGGTACGTCCAATGTCTTTTCCTGACACATGCACTGTGCAAAGCCTTGGGCAGCTTGAGTCATGTATTTTGTCCTTTCACAGTGAGATGCTCATCTGTGGTGACATGAACAGCACTCCCTTTGACTGCCAAGCAGTGCTCAGGGCTGCAAAGCAAGACTTCCTGGGTGTGATGGCAGTCACTGACCATTCTGCACCAGCTTACAATGCCAAGCTGGAGAGTTTGCAGTGCCTGACCGTGGTCTACTACCTGGAGGCCCTCGTCATGCTCAAGCACCTCCAGAGACCTGGTGTAGTGGAGAACATGACTGTTTTTAACTATGAGCTTTTCATGTGACCACAACCACAACACTGAGAGCATCAATTTATGGAATCTCATGTGTGTTCTACGCAGGTTGAGGAGTGGAGGAACCGCAGCCACATGGACCAGGGGCATGTGGCCATAGCAGTGAAAGAGCACAAGACTGCCACAGCAGCTGGCAGTCTTTGTGCTGTTCCCAGAAGAGGCTGTAAGTGGACTTTAGTTTTCAAGATGACTCTTTGTACAGGCATCAGATTCTAATTCTGGATTTTCATGTTTTTTTTTTCTCCACACAGTGGTTTCACAACTACTATGAGTACATGAGGGACCACCTGAGAGCCTGGTGTGGCCCACCTGAGGGCCAGGAGGATGAGGAAAGCCCTCAGGAGCGCTTTCTTTTATCCACAACTGGGAGGCCAATCGACAACTATTCAAATGACTTGAACAGGCTCCACCATAGGTGAGCACATCTTGAGAAAATTGAAAAAACGACATTTCTTTCTTGAAGTGACTGCCATATAAAGCAACCTCACAGTCAGAGGGATGAGAGCTTTCACTTACAACTTACTCTTCACTGTCATTTTAGGTGCAGTCTCCCTCCAGTGACCAGCCAGGTGGCGAGACAGGTCTTTGCAACGTGGCTCTTGTCCACTTCACGGAGCTTTTTGCTGGACGTCTCAGACTACCTCAGCCACGGCAGAGAAACACTACAGGATGACTCAAGGGGAACACCTCATGCAAGCCCTGACCATCATCAACCACTTGGGTGCTGACCCGAGGTAAGAGACAAGCGCCTTATTGGATAGTTTTACTTTTAAAATGACTTAGTTATTGATTAGTTTGCTGTGTCACCTGCCCGCTGGCAGGAGTCTTATGTTGGATTGCCTGAGATTGTGTTCCTGACTCTTATTTAGCAGCCAACATGACTGCAGAAAGAATTGATAAAGCAACTGAACAGTAAAATCAGAGATAAATTAAATTTTTTAGAAAAACTCGACTGACTCAAATTTGAGGTCAACCCCAGAGACCTCGTCCATTGGACCAACCACACAGCTCATGAGATCCTCAAGCACTGGGCAAAGCAGGTAAACTGGTAGTGGGGGCAGACTGCTTTGATGCATCCCCCCCATTGCTCAAATGTATTTAACCTGAGCTCCACATTGAGACTAAACAAAGCCCAGAGGGAAGTATTGGAAAAGGGTCTTACTTTTATTCCCACCCCTATGCAGCCCAATTGGATGGACTTGAGGCAGTATTCATTTATATCAATTGCATATCAAATTATTAGAATATTTTAGTGATAGTAATACACAAGACTTTACCCCTTTTGTAGGTACATCCCACTGGGAACCCAACACGGATGGCATGTCTTCTCCAGTTAAACTGATTGACAATATCTGGGCTTTCCGTCAAACCAAATTTAGACCCAACAGCTCTGCTGGTTGGAAGAACTCATCACATAAGAAACTC